GCACATCCAGAGAGAAGTGGTCATTTGAGTTGAGTTCATACTTCTGGAGGGTGTTCTCGCCCACGTCCGCATCATGCGCACTCTTCAGAGGAATCCTGAATCCTGGTGTAGTCGTTTCGCTGATTTTTAGTTCCGGCTCCTCTACTCCAAAGCGAGGAGCATTGTCATTAACATCTGTTACCTCCACCTCTACGGAATAAATAGTCAATTTATCTTCCAGTAGTAGGTTAAAGTTCATCAGACAGGGTGTGCTCTGGGCGCACAGCTCTTCCCGGTCTATCCTGCCTGCGGTGACCAAGCTGCCGCTTCTCGGGTTCAGAGCAAAGAGCTGCGACCTACCTCTGGAGACGATGCGGACCCCTCGTTCTGCCAGAGCTTGAGGCTCCAGCCCCAGGTCCTTGGCGATGCTGCCCACGAAGGAGCCTTTGTCTAGCTCCTCAGGCACAGAGTAGCGGATCTGTCCAGCTCTGGCCTCCCACAGGGCGGCCCAAAGGGCGCACAGCAGGACCAGCATTCTGTACCGGGGCAGCTTCTGCAGCGTCGCCATTTCCCTTCTGCAGCCGAGTTTCCTCCAAACCTGCTTCCAGCACGGTGAGTCCAGTCCTTACTCCCCCAGGGTCTGAGACGACCAGTATTCACCGGTTCCAGGTCACCGAGGAGAGAGAACTAACGGGCGCTGCTTTGAATTTCCTTGCATCTTCTCTGACCGGAAGCTGCTGACAAACCGCCAGTCCTTTGTTTTTGTGCCAGTCCTTCAGTGGGATTGGTTGACTGTCTTTTACTCCTTAGGTGGTCAACAGCGACGCTCAGAGGCCTAGCCAGTTTCTGCACTCGCGCAAGCAAACCCATTTCATGTTTTCCTGTGACTTAACTCTCAAGAATGACTCTTTACACTAAGATGCCGTATTATTTACAGTAGAAGTAAGCATTTAAAGGTAGGGACTTCTTTTCAGAACTTGTAAGAATAGTGTAAATATACGTAACCTGAGATGGTTGCTACGAAAGTATTGCAGAACGTTTAAGCCTTAAATGTTGGCCTTGATGCAGCACACTATCTCCCGAACCTTTTCTTATCTATGCTCAGACAAGAAGGTCAACATGGGCTACATTTTATTATAAGGTAAGTGTTCTGAATTTTTGTGCTCTGTTGCTTAGCATTTAATGCCAACACTTGATATGTAAATTGTTGAACATCAGACACTAAACAGCACGTGTGCCTGACACAAGGTTTGATTGACTCTTAGTTGGAGACCAGTTCTCAGAAACTTTTAGGGCAGGGAAGATGAGGAAAGTAAAGATGATCTTATTAAAGAGTATCGATGCCAGATTTGGTGAAAAGCACTGACCCCTGGGGACATGCAGAGGAAGGGGACCCAACTTATGTCTGAGAGTCAAAATCGACCTTTCCTGAATGCTACTTCATTTGAATCCCGACAGGTAGGTAGAATGGATCAAGAACAAGGCTGGAGTAGCAAAGAAACTCAGAGCCAATGCTCGGAGCTGGATACAGCCAGGAACATCATGGATGAGGAAGGTTTCCATATTGAACAAAGCCCAGGCAGACAGGGCACTTCACACTAAGAATCTGTCACTCAGAGTTGTTTGAGACTGTTAAGTCCTCTTTCCCTTTCTGTGTTTAGTCTTGCCCTGATGACACCATGGATGTCTTCTTACTCCTGTTTAGCTCACAGATACAAACATATTTATGCATAATGCATTTATTTAAAATTACACTTTGAAATATTTCAAGCTTATAGACCACTACAGAAAGTAATATAACCAAACTCTGTGCACATAACAGTAGGCTTTATTTAATTTTAACATCTTGTCATATTTAAGTAAAATGTATGTTTAGACTTTTTATTTTGAACAATTTTCAGAATTACAGAAGAGTTGCAAAAACAGTATAAATAAATCTCATATAGAGCGGTTCCTTGGCAGCTGAGGGGACTTGGTTCTGTATCTGATGGTGCTGGAGTCCCTCGTGTAAATGATGCAGAAGGAAATGATCTGTGTACACTCTTCTGGGTAGTTGGTCACCTCACAATTAGACATGCTGTCTAAGATAATGTTAATAGTTGATGAACATGTTTAAGAACTATGTTAAGTTTTCCAAATACTTTCAACTTGTCATGTAGATGTAGGTTTGTGCAGTTGGATTAATTCACTTTACATATGAAGTTCACTGTATTCTGTGCCCCGCATTACCCCGAATGTTAACACTTTATTTTCATGCTCCCATGGAGTCCATGTAAGTTGCAGACAAAATGTCCCTTTACTTTTTCTGAATTCCTTTAGTACCAAACTATAAAATTAACTTGGCATTGATGCAGTTTTTATTTAGCCTATGGCTCTTAGCAATAATTTGTCGGGTGCTACAATGCCTTTTTAATAGCAAAATAAAATATTTTTCAGGCCTAGGATCCATATCACAAAGTTTCTGCAGTGGGTAGAATTCGAACACTTCACAAGGCTTTGACATGGGAAGATGTGGTCAGCCTACTATAAAACGTTCTCCCTTGTTGGGTGTTAGATTCCTTCTCCTTAGGTTCAGATGGTGCAGTTCTGGCGGGAAGATGTAGGAATGACGTTATCTCCTTAGTGCATTTTCGTGGGAGCCACACGGTGCCTTTGTCCCAGTACTGTTTTTGATAACTTCAATCACTGGTGACATTCTAGAAATTTTCTAGTTATTTGTACTTTTCTCTGTTGTAAACTCACTATTTATTAATTGATAATTAACTTGTCCAGTCCCCTCTTCCTTTTTTGCTTTCCTTCCATCTGTTACTCTTTCTCTCTTGATTTGTGGTTTCTTACGGCTTCTTCGTAGTATGTTTTTTGAAATTGATGAATATGAGACTTCCAACTTTCTTTTCAAGATTGTTTTTGTCTGTTTGGAGGCATCCCTTGAGATTCCACATAAATTTTAGGGTGGAATTTTTCATTTCTGCCCCCCAAACCCCATTATTAGAGTTTTGATATGGATTCCAGTGAGTAAGTAGGTTGTTGTAATTAATTCTGTACACTTCTATTTATTTTACTTTTACATTTTTAACTGTTGTTATACGGGTAGGGAGAAAGCCCGTGGAGGCCAGAAGAAGGCATCAGAGCCACTGAAACTGGGGCCACAGGCAATTGAGAACGTCTTGAGCCTTTCTCTTTGTTTGATCTTTGCTTTCTTTGGGAATTATACTAAAATCGGGTATTATCTTCAAAATTGTGTTTTTAGGTGATGGGAGTTAATAATTTTCTACCCGTTTGACAACGCTTTCTTTTTTATAATCATGACCAAGTCATTTCCTAAATGAATTTCTCACACACTACAGCTAGTGCTTGTTGCTGTAACCACGACTTTGTTTTTGTACTAACCGTATACAACAACTGTTTTCTTTTGTGCATGTGTGCACATGAATCTTTATCTTCAATATTTCAGTATAAATTTAAGAACCTATCTTGTCAGTAGAATATGGATTTTTTTTTTTGGATTTTTCGAGACAGGGTTTCTCCGCAGCTTTTTTGGTTCACATCCTGGAAGTAGCTCTTGTAGACCAGGCTGGCCTTGAACTCAGAGATCCGCCTGCCTCTGCCTCCCAAGTGCTGGGATTAAAGGCGTGCACCACCACCGCCCGACTTAGAATATGGATTTTAAAAACCAACCAATTCATTAATTTGTCTTTAAATGTTAAGAGCTAAGCAAATGCAGAGATTAAACAATTTATTATTTGAGTATAATTTTGTACTCAAGGAGGAAATAAAAATCCAGACCACATGCAGCAAGAATGAAATCCCCTTAAAAGCCACCAGAGAAGAAACAGATTACTTAAAAAAAAATGGCCATGTGATGACAGAAAATTTCTCATTTGTAATAATCATAAGTTATAGGAAGACAATGTATTTTGAAATTTAGGCCTATATATTTATTTTAAGTAGAAGAATTTCTTTAAAAAATGTTCTCACCTACTCTACTTCCTTATTGTTTTTCTCTCCTGAGGCCCCCCCCTTGACACAAGGTCCCATGTAGCCCAGAATAGCTTCAAACTGGATATGAGGCTAAGAATGTCCCCTCTTGCCTCAGTTTCTTAAGTACTGGGATTATAAGCATGTGCTACCGTGCCTATCTCCTATTGGTTCTGAAATTATTTTATCAGTCATATAGAGTGGTGGTTCACATCTGCAGTCCCAGCCCTCAGAAAAAGACAAGAAAATCACAAGTTAGGGGTCAGCCTGAGCTACACAGCGAGTTTCAGCCCAACTGATGAGTGCAGTGAGAGCCAACTAAAACACACTGCCCAGGTTCCAGGCAATAACTAGGCCTCTAACAGTGCTTCAAGGCTGCGTGGCGGTGCCAACCTGGACAGCACAGCCCCATGAGCAGACGTACTGTTCACTGCATCTGTGTTCCTCTCCCTTGGTCTTCAGCTTGCAACAAGGCACAAGCACAGGGATTGGCAGGGAAGATTTCACGCACCTGATGGTTTTCATTGCTCATATTGGTTTCAATCAATAATCCAACCCTAGGCCACTTGTCAAGAATGAAGTAGTTTTGTTTATTTTACACTGCTGGCCTGCAATCCCTGTTTAAATAGCTTTAGATCAATTCATGATTTCTTGATCTATCTCTTGTCCATCTAGATATTTTATTTTACTATTCTAATGCTTTACTATTTTATGTACCTGTTCAATTTGACGGAACAGAGTAGATGTAACAAGACATGAATTTACCATGCCATATATACACTTCCTTTTTTTTTGAGACAGGGCCTCACTATGAAACCCTTGTTGGCCTGTAATGCATTATGTACACCAGGCTAGCCTTGAACTCACAGAGAACTGTCTGCCTCTGTCTCTTGAGTGCTTAGATTAAAGACGTGTGCCACCGCACCAGATCTTCACAATACACTTCTTATGAAGCATCAATATAGACAAATATGGAATATGTCTCAGTTTTGTCATTTTCACCACACACACACACACACACACACACACACACACACGTGAGGGAAGCTTTAAAACTGTTTTATAAGTTTTATAAGTGCATGACAAAATTTCTGTCCATTTCATAAGTTATTTAAAGAGATAAATTTTTAAGCACACATAAAATCTCTCAGTGAGAGGTTGTAGACTAAGATGTTTAGCAACAACATCAGACTGTATGGATTATTATCATTTTATATTATCACAACTAAAATTAAGACTTTTGATGATTCTCACCACTATAACTTCTGAATAAGTGGATAGTCAACTCAGACAACAAAATGATTTAGCCAGACGTAAGTGTTAAATAGAAGACAAATCTGTTTCTGATGCAGTTCTCTTTCCCAAAGGCGATGGTCTCACCACTCGGAACATCCCTGGAATGCCTATAGAAATCTAAAAGGGTAGGTCACCTGTATTGTTGCTATATGCCTGAGATATCAGCATTCTAGTAGTCTGAGGCAGGAGGATTATAATTTAAAACCATGCTGGGCTACAAAGTGAGTTCAAATAAAACATTAAATTGAAAGTTAAAAAAAAGTGAGTTCCAGGCCAGCCCAGGTATATTATCAAGAACTTGTCAAAAGAGCAGCACTCACCTAGCCTGCACAAGCCCTTAGGTTTAAATTCCAGTGGCATGAAACAAAAATAAACATACCCAATCACCACTGGGGCATAATGGAATATACCATTTATAGAAAACAGGGAAAGCAAATATATACAGACATGAAACAGTTTCATTGATATAGCTATTAAGGTCATTACAAGTTTACCTGAGAAAGTTTTTCCTCTTTATCTTCAAGCAGAGACTGGGGTGCTGACAGAAACTCCCCTTTCCCACAGCTCTCTTGGCTGATAAGCGTGTCTGCATAGTTGGGCTGTGGGAAGATCAGATGGCTCTTGCGAGAGTCAGCGGTGAGTGAGATCTCACGGGAATAGGTCTGTAGAAATGCATGTACCCCGTCAACACCCACAAAGTTGTGGGCAGGAATGTCAGTCAATCCGTTTGCTGCAGTGTGGAGCAAGCGCGAGGAGTGCCAGTGCCGCACCTTCAGCATCAAGAGCACGATGACAAAGGCTAGGAAGATGCAGGAGACCACAGCCACCGCCACCACCAGGTAGAGTGTGAGATCTGAGTCCTGGGGATCGGCAGCTGTCCCAATGCTGCCCAGGTCGGCCAGGAGTTCAGGGATGTTGTCAGCCACTGCTATGGTGAGTGTAACAGTGGCCGAGAGAGGAGGCTGGCCATGGTCCTGCACAGACACCACCAGGCTCTGCTTCAGAGCATCTCTGTCCAGCAGGGCCCGGGCAGTGCTCACCTCGCCTGTGTGCAGCCCCACTGAGAAGAGCCCTGGCTCACTGGCCTTGAGCAGACGGTAGGAGAGCCAAGCATTCTGTCCTGAGTCTTTGTCCACTGCCACTACCTTGGTCACCAGGTAACCAGGCTCGGCAGAGCGAGGTGCTAGTTCCACACCAGTGGACCCGTCTGTGGGAAGGGCAGGGTACAGGATCTCTGGGGCATTGTCATTCTGATCTATCAAGAACAGACTCAGAGAAACATTGCTGGTGAGTTGTGGGTTCCCACTATCACGAGCCATCACTCTTAGCTGCAAATCCCGAAACTGCTCGTAGTCAAAGGACTGCAATGCGTAGACAATGCCAGTGTCAGAGTTGATGGAGAAATATGAAGACAAAGGCACTCCCTGAATAGTGTCTTCCACTAGGGAGTAAGTCACTAGTGCGTTCTCATTGTGGTCAGCATCCTGGGCCTTCACTGAGAAGATGGAAGCCCCTCTGGGGTTATTTTCAGGAATGTAGACAGAGTAGGAGTCCTGTTCAAAAACTGGAGGGTTATCATTGATATCCGTCACTAGCAGTGAGATATGAGCTTGGGTCGATAGGGGTGGGGTTCCCTGATCCGTTGCTGTTATTGTGATGTTGTGCCCGGAGCTATGCTCTCTGTCCAGTGTTCTTTCTGTTACCAAGCGGTAATAATTGTCAACTAACTTCTCCAGTCTGAAGGGGAGGTTTCCAGGAATGGAACAAGTGGCACGGCCATTGTTACCAGCGTCTTGATCATGCACACTGATAAGAGCAACTATGGTCCCAGGAGGAAAGTTTTCTGGCACTTCGGTAGTGACAGAGGTGATTCCAACTTCTGGAGCATTATCGTTAACATCCAAAACAGTGACCAGCACCTTAGCTCTAGCCATGAGTGCAGCACCATCCTGGGCTTGAATTTCCATTGGATAAACTTTGTATTCTTCAAAATCTAGTGGTTCTTTATTCCTTATTTCTCCAGTGTAAGAATCCAACTGAAATTTCCGGACCACACTGTGGTCTACATTGTGAAAGGAGTATGTTACTTTGCCATTGGCTCCCTCGTCCGGGTCAGTAGCATTCACCTTGAGCAGCGGAGTGCCTAGTGGGATGTTTTCTGGGACACTCACGTGGTACTCTGCCTGAGTAAATGATGGCGGGTTGTCGTTCACATCTACCACCTGAACACGGATCTGCAGAGTCCCCGAGTGTACTGGGTTACCCCCATCAGAGGCAGTGAGAACAAGGTAGTGGCTAGCATCTTTTTCTCTGTCTAGAGGGCTCTGCAGCACCATCTCTGGCTGTTGTGCTCCTTCAGGTCCCTGTTGCACATCCAGGAAGAAGTGAGGGTTGGCGCTTAGCTGGTAGCTCTGAAGTGAGTTTATACCTACATCAAGGTCTTGCCCAAGAGGCAGAGGAATCCTGGTACCCGGAGTCGTTATTTCACTCATTTTTAACTCCAGCTCTTCTAACTGGAATTGGGGGGTGTTGTCATTAATATCAATTATCTCTACTTCGATAGGGAAAAGCTTCATTTCATCCTCCACGAGGATGTTAAAGCTCACGAGACAGGGCGCGCTCTGGGCGCACAGCTCCTCCCGGTCTATCCTGCCTGCGGTGACCAAGCTGCCGCTTCGCGGGTTCAGGGAGAAAAGCTGCGACCTACCTCTGGAGACGATGCGGATCCCCCGCTGCGCCAGCTCACGGGGCTCGAGCCCCAGGTCCTTGGCGATGTTGCCCACGAAGGAGCCTTTGTCGGTTTCTTCCGGCACCGAGTAGCGGATGTTTCCAGCCCTGGCTTCCAGGAGTAGCTCCAGAGAAAGGCACAGCAGCATCAGCCGGCTCCAGCCGGTTAGTTTCTCTGGAATCGCCATTGCTCTCTGGCTTCCTACTTTTCTCTCAATTTGTTATCAAGGGTATTGTTTTTCTGCTTTTCCAGGATCTTCTTTATCTTAATAATGAAAATAATTACAGCAGAGAGATGTCCAGAAATATGCTGGGCACTTGCAGGCAGACATTTTCAGTCCGGCATGATGGAGAGTCTGAGAGTCACACGGTTTTTTTTTTCTTCCTTCCTTTCTTTTTTTTTTTAATTGGGCGGGTAGTGTAGAGCATGTATCTCCCAGGTTGGTGAACAGCGGCGCCCAGAGTCTTAACAAGTTACTGCACTCCTTGCAAAGTAATCAGGTATCTGAAGTCCTGGTTTACTGCCAGGGAAATAGTAATTCTTTTTTTACAATAGTATGTATGCATGCACATATGTATGTGCACATGCATGTATGTATTATATGTAAAGAAGAAGCAATGTCCATTTCCTTATAGCTATATTGCCAAATTGTATTGTTTTGAAGAACCCAGTAGTCCAAATTATCTGTTTTCCCTGTGTGCTACTGAAAAATTAAAATATTTCTCTAACCCCAAAGAGGAGAAAATCAGCCTTCCATTTATTCTGTTGTATAGCTTGACTACTTGATAATTTCTCAGGCCACAAAGAGAGGTTTGGAGGAGGAAGAAAACACTAGAGAGGGAAAAGTCCACTTTCAGATTTCAGAGTAGAGTCTCAGATCTGGACCGCTCCAGCTCCATTTTCCTTCCACTTGGCTTTGAAGATTTTCAGAACTCTGGGATTTTGAAGACCACGCTAAACCATATCCTCATTCTCCTTCTTTTCTGAAGCAGCTACATTAAGAAAGATTTAAAATTCCCCCAAAGGTAATAAATTTTGAATAGGATAAAATCGGGTCTTGGAATCTCATTAAGCATATTGCACGACTATGTAATTTATACTTCAGACTCAAAAGACAGAGAAGTTGTGGTATTATTCTTTATAGATGAAAAAGCCACGTTTTATGTTCATGGAGACTGTGGGGATGATAGCTGTCCCACACTCATGCAATGTATCCTCCAGGAGAAGGTGGCTTTATTCAACAGCAATGTCTTGTAACTAGGGTGATGAGGACTTCACTTTCCTTTTGTTCATTGTTTGGAGATGTGTGGCAGCTACAGTGGTGAGCCCACCTCGGCTTGTTTCAGGCTGGCTGGGGGCCCTTCGCAGCAGCCACGGAGCGCAACATCTTGTCCTTTCACTACGAAGAGGATAATGGAACACTAGTGCTAAGTCCAAAACCAAAGTAGGCAAAGCAGATATGTTATCCACCGAGTTTGCAGAGGAAAGCAGCTTCTGAGAAATGCCTTTAAGGACAGTAAAACATCTCTGCTCTGCTACTGGATTCTGGCGGAGAGAGTTCTTGGAAAGTTCGGAGCCCTTTAGAGCTTGGAGTAGAGCTGGAATATTTAGAATGGTGAACAAGGCCGAAGATGCAGTCAACAAACTGACAATTGTGATGAATGAGTTGGATCTTAGCTTGAAGAAAAGCAGGATCGATCTGAGGATAAGGAGGAGTAACTTCCCAACTTCATGCCAGTTTCTATAGACTTGGTTTGTTACAGAAAAGAACTTCCAGCTAACACTGCTCCTTCTGCTGAAAGTGCTCTGGTGGTAGGTGGTTCTGAGAACTAGTCTGCTTTATCCTGAGCATCGCCTTGGCCTTCAGATCAGCTGCAGTAAGGGCAAACCTTTGCCGACTCTCACATATTCTGAACTACTAAGGGATTACATTCAGTGAAAGATATGTTTGTTGGGTAAGTGAGATGCCGGCAGATATGGAAAGTTGCTTGTTACTTTGTTCAAAAATCATGAAATGGGAAAATGGTTATTGTTTTCAAATTAATCTAAACAGAACAGCCTGAAAATGCAATGGGAGAGAGGTGACGGCACAGGAGAAAATGATTTGGAATAGATGACGAAACAATTAGCAGAGAGGTGTGAAGATCGGAGAAGGGACAATTTAAGAAGTTCTTGGGATCATTAGCTCGCCCACAGTAGCGCTGGGAGGATGATGGGAGTCATTCCTTCCAAAGCCAACAGTGCAACCTAATGGTAAGAGTATTCCTCTGAGGTCACTGCTTTTGTTCCAGTTATGATGAAGGCCATAGTATATCATTTAAAGTCACATGAATAAACCAGTGTATATCTTATAAATTACAGATGCACACATATACATGTATTTCCAGTCATTTTATCACATTCCGAGTCCTGACCCACATATCACAGTATCATGACACTCCATGGTGCTCTGCTGAGCTCTGAAATATTTGTGCTAAGAAGTGCATTCCAAGGTCAGAACAATCACAATTCTTTTGTTTGTTTTGTGGTGATTAATTCTACTAAAAAGGGAAATTGTCGGTGCACTGACTAAAGTTCACTTATACACCCCCATACAGAGATCATGACTTCGGGATTACAGTAACAAAATGCTATTTTCTGTGAAGCACTAGTATGGATTATTTGAATATTTAAATATACTAGGGATCTTTCCATTGGGGAGAAGTATTTTCCTGTAAATATATGTTAGTGTTAGGATTTCTTAGGTATTGTACTTTATAAAGGCTGAGTTTTGGATGGAGGTGTAGCTCAGTTGGTAGTTTGCCTAGCATGCTCGAAGTCCCGGGTTCAGTCCACAGTAATGAGAAATCCAAGAGTGGTGTGCATGCCTGTAATCCTAGCAGAAAGCTTGAAGCCATCCTTGGCTTACACAGTGGGTCTGAGTTCAGCCTGGGCTATAGGAGACTGTTTCAGATAAAAATGAAATAAAGATAAGGCAAAAAGGAAAAAATTGAGCACTTATATTAGTAAATGACTAACGAAACGTAAATTTTCTTATGCAATCATTATAACTTAAACAAATTTATTCCTTGTCTGCCTTAGGTAAAGAAAAAAATTGTCTACTTAAATTATAGGTCCCATAGATTTTGTTGATCTTCCATTGTTATCATTAAAATCTAAGACTTTGTAAATATTTAACTTATCCTTGATAAAGAAGGTTACTAACTACAATGTCGCAAATTAAGAGTAATTTATTTCTTTTTATCTGACAGGAATATGGTGTTGGCACTCTAGAGTCTGGCACTTCAGGAACAATTGAGACAGATGCTGGCAGCCAACTAGATATAGTCATGAAAGGTTCAGAAAATGAGGAAGGAAAGGAAGAAATTAAGGACAGTTTCTGTTCTTGTATAACTACACAGTTTCTCAGACTCTCAAAGACAAATATATAGACCTCAAGGGTAGTAACTTAGCATTGCAATACATCTCTTTCATTGTTGCAAAGAAGGAACTCTTTAATAAAAAATAAGACTTTTCAGAACATATTAGGATTATGTAAACTTCTTCCAAAAGGAATTGTGAACTAAAGAGACAAAATAAGCACACATAAAAATAATCAGTAAGTTGGGCAGTGGTGGCGCACGCCTTTAATCCCAGCACTTGGGAGGCAGAGACAGGTGGATCTCTATGAGTTCTGGTCTACAGAGTGAGTTTCAGGTCAGCCAGAGCTACACAGAGAAACCCTGTGTTGAAAGGTCAAAAAAGAAAAGAAAGAAAATCAGTAAGACAAGCAGGAGGAAGTTTAAAAGGCTGGATGCACTAAATGAGAACATTCGGAGTCACATGTATTTATTTGACTCCAATATAAAATCTAAAGCTTCATTGTTGCCACTCTGGACAATGTCCAGGTGTAAGCTGTTTTCTTAATATGAAGAAACTAAAGAATATAAAGAAACTAAAATCTGAAGATTTTACAATAGGAGAAGCCATGCACAGATTCTGGTAACAGGTGAGTCTCTGTGAATATAGGAGCAACTCCAAAACCATCCTTCAGAGAACAGGTTGACAGATATCCCTAGTGCTGGAGCTAGGATGTTACAGGTCCAAGACGATGGCCAGAATCCCTTTGAGAAGCCAGAGTACAGAACCTAAGGCAAGGCTTCCAAAGCTGAAACTCCGTCTGCCTGGCAGTGCTATGCTGCCTACACTGGGTCTGGCAGAGCTCCTGAAAACTCATGGCAGGGACCAGGTACAGCGTAGTGACTGTCCACCACACAGGCCCTGGTACTCTGTTTCTGAGACACGGAGCAGTATTGTACACCCGTAGCTGTATGAGCCCCTAGATTGAAGAACCACATTAGCTTGTCAGAACTATAGGACAGCTCTTGTGCTTGTAGTTAGTGTCCACTTTTGTCAGCAGGTAGACAGACTCCATAGTGCACACTGTAGTGACTTACCTAGTTGAAGTTTTTGGCAAAGCATCTTCCTTGTATTTTTGTGACAGTCACCCATCATCACTGAGAGGCTAGGATGGCACTGACCCACTCAAACCCTGGTTATCATGCTGAGAATGAATTTAAAGGTGGTCTGCCGGGATACTGCGGCAACCTGCACTCGCTGACCGAAGGCAATTGCACTTTCATGGCGCAAGGCCAGGAAGAACAAGAATTATGACATACTGCAAGCTCTGCTCAGAAGTATTCAATGGCTGCTTCAGTGTTTCCAGTCCCTTGGGACAAGGCACAACAGTACATATCTGTAATCCAGCACTCAGGAGACAGAGACAGAAGAAGGATTATAAATTTGAGGCCAGCTGTGCTACACAGCAAGACCCTATCTCAAAGAAAAATAAGAGATCAGGATGTGGCTCAGTATGAAACACTTGCCTAGCACAGAAACGGCCCCAAGCCCAAAACTCAGCTCGCAAAAAGAGAAAAGAGGAAAGAGCAGACTGCTTTTGTTTTCATAACACTTCACTTTGTAGTTCAGGCTGGCCTTACTCTCCATCTTTATGCTCAGCCTCCCGGATGCTGAGGTGACAGGCATGCACCATCACTTCCGGCAAGCAGAGCATTTTTGTTGGTGAAAATGTCTGAGTAAGGCTTGTGCTGGAGAAAAGGGATGCCTCATCCCTGTAAAGGCACTGATGGTAAGACTGTGCCCAGGGGCTGCTCCCATTTAGGATTCCATCTGTCAGTAGGTGCCCATTACATAGTAATTCTTGGAGGTGATCATTCCTTTTTCACCTCTCCATTTAAACACAGGTGTCAGTTCTGCTGTTTGGTTATTAATAGCAGTCCTTACCTGTGGACGCCTGATTGAGAGTGACCTACGCTGCTCTGTAGTTCTTCACCTCCGGTTCAGCTGGGATTTTGAAAACGGGTCTTTAGACTACCTCCAATCTTCTATTCCATGTAGTTACTGCCTTCTTCTTCTTTTTTTAAAATCAAAATCAAGCATTGCTGCAACCTGGGGGCAGTAGATCTATTCTGTATGAGTTGTGAGATCGTGTGGAAATAACAGAACTCTACCTTAAGGATGTCAGTGAAGATCACCCGGAATGCGATCTAGGCGAGGACGAGGACGGGTTCTTCTGCAGGATGGCCCAGCTGCATAGCTGTGATTTGACACCCCAGTCCTGGCAACGGCTCTAGGCTCTGTTTTGTCTACAGCTGTCTTGCCCCGTAAACGTCACTGAGGAGTGGCAGTCCTTCTCCTCAGGTCCAGGGTTTCTTTGGTAACAGTTGCCAGTATTTACCGCTGTAGGGCTCTTCATTCATTTCTGGAGTCAGACGAGATGGTCACTGACACGTTTGTAGAGTTATTCTCAGCGTCCGAATCTTTAAACGCTGCTATTAAGATACTCTCCAGGATTTCCCAAAACGGTGTACGTCGTTGTCATTTAAGTCCAGGATGGTTCCGTCTGTATGATTTTCGGTAGATTTAATTTTCAATTTCGAGTGGCTTGCGTAATTTCTCTGGTGAATCTACTGCATTGATCTGGTCAGTCTCTGCTGTCTTGGATAGATGGAGTAGTTCTCAGCACTCACCCTCGGATTCCCCGCATTTAAACACTCAGTCTTCTTTTCGAATCACGCAGTGCAGTTGGTGCGTAGTTTCTCCGAGCAGAACAAAGACTGCGGGAAGGGAGGCGGCGCTTCCTGCGCTCTGTGCGCCTGCCCTGTGGGCGACTTCCTATCCACGCAGCTGTTGAGACGTGAATTCACTCCCTGTAGTAGAAGTCACTCCCAGGAAGGAAAAGGCAGCACCTCTCTCGGAGTCATGAAACAATCTGATGATGATGACTGCAAGCGGAGAGCAGGAGAATGGGCGACGAAAACCAAGAGGTTCAAACAGATCGCAGGGAGGCCGTGCATTTTTAGGCTGTGTTTGTGAAAGCCCGCGGAGATCACTGGGTCAGAATGGCCACTGACTGGGCGACAGCGGCACCCAGAGGTTCAGCGTGGTAACCTATCGCAAACCTCTTCTGAAATTCCTCAGAAGACGCCACCTTCCTTCTTTTCCAGGACTTGTTTTAGAATACTAGCTTTGTTAAGGTGGAGAGTATGGATTGTAGTTTTTGACAATATATTAATAAAACTGTCTTTTCACAAAATTTAAGCGAAGTAATCTAATCTATTACAGTTCGACGTAAGAACCCTCGTACAATTTTTCCTCGATATTATTTTTTCCGGTGCTGAGGATCAAAGCCAGGACCTTGCACTTGCCTAGGTCCCGCCCTTGCCAGTAGTTTTTGAAGATGATACATTGATGAAATCTTTTCCTTTGAAAAAAGGGGGCGGGGGGAGTTCACTACTTGCCAGGGATGGCGGGGCACACTTGTAATTCTAGCACTCAGGAGGTAGGGAAACCCACCACAAGTTCAAAATTAGCCAGGTCTACACAGTTCCAAGCTAGCCAGGGTGACACAGAGACATTATCTGAACAAAAATGTTCTCTTTACTAGATAAATTATCCTCTGTTAAAAGACATGTCACAAAATAGAATTCCTAGAGTTGGGGAGTTGGCTCAGTGATTGCTGGACAAGCACGAGGACCTTAGTCTAAACACCTAGCGGGAATGTAGAAAGCCGATGGCCACACTGGCTCTGTAACCTCAGCCCTGGGCTGGGTGGAGAAAGGACATCTCTGGGGTTTGTTGCCCCACAGCCTAGCTCCAGGTTCTTTGACAGATCCTGACTCAGGGTGTAACAAGGAGATCACAAGGATAGGTTACGCTACAACTTCCTCTGGCTTCCACATGTATGTGCACAGGCAGGTGAGGGCTTGCAAACACACACACGAAAAAAAATATTACGAATTCTTACTGTAAGTTCAAATACACAATTTTTGGTCTAACACATTGAAAATACTTTAAAAAATTAAAATAACCCAGAATTGAATTAATTTAAAATTTTATCTTTCGAGACCAGCCTGGTCTACAGAGCTAGTTCCAGGACAGGCTCCAAAACCACAGAGAAACCCTGTTTCGAAAAACCAAAAAAAAAAATTATCTTTGATGTCTATTCCAATGCTTCCTCTATACATACACTTTCAAAAATTCCCCAAATAATCTAAGCTCCTTCATGAATGTTATTGGCTACTCATACCCTTTTTCTAAAATATAGATGTCAACTGTTAATATACCCTGTTGTGGGGTGT